GGGGTCCGAGGTGGCGGAGGGCAGATTTGAAGCGTCTCTGCTCCGGAGTCCCTGCTGCTCCCTCTCCCACCCCTTGGCCCGCGCCTGGCCGCGCAGGAGGCGGGGGGCGTTCGGCCTGCCCGGAGTATTCCTGTGTCGGCTTTTTTGCCTGTTACCTCCAGTGAGATTGCTGACTTGCAGGAAGTTTGTTGGGGTTTGCAGGACTGGTAAGAACTCAAATCGTATCAGGTTTAATTTCTTATGCCTAAAATTCCATGAGAAGCAAATCGAAAGTCGGCCAAATAAATTGCAGCATTTCCCACAGTTGGAAAAACTCTGTTTATAGTTTTCCTTTGTATACTTGTCATCAGCTTTGGCATTCTGTCGCTTGCAGGCATCCCACTTCGGATTCTCAGCTGTTTTGCATTCTTTACAATTTGTGAAAACACTTTTCTAATAAAACGCGATGATTATTTATCTGGAGCAAGTGCCCTGTGGTGTCAGGAAGTTAAGTCTTCCAACATTGTGCTAAAGGTAGAGCAGTGTGTTAGCCTCTGTGTGAGGAGAGCAAGGTGCCGCCTTCGTCAAGACTTACCCAGGAAGCCAATGGAAGGGCTGAGCTCGCCCTGAAACCTGAAACTGCTGCGCAAGTTCTGCTTCGAGTTGTACTTTGTGGGAGAAGCAGTGAGAAAGTCCTGCTAAAAAGCTTGCTGTGTCAAGTGAGTATTGCATCTGAAAAATCTTTAAAGTGCTTTTTGTAGTTACTTAGGCCAGCACTTGGGCTTGGGATGAATGGTTAGCTGGGAGTGGGCTGTAGAGATAAAAGTTGCCGGAGCTAAGAGCGTTGTTATAAATTAAATTAATGCTTCTGGCGCACAGTTTTGTAACTTGGCCATCTAACTTGTTGTGGCAGAAGTAGTGTGTGCTGCCCTGTTTGAGATGGCACCAGAACCTGGGTATTCATTTTTGTGCTTTTGGATGCTGGGCTAGCCGTCCTAACTCTGATCTCTGCCCGTTGTTGCAGACCCTTGGCTGTGTGCCTGCTATGCTGTTAGTCGTGGGGCTCCTCTGACTAATACTTCAGCGTTCTTCTGCAGCCTCTTCTGAGTTCTGAGTCTATATGCCTGAACTAAAGTGTAAATCAGGAAATTTTTATATAAATGTGGGGTTTATTGGTCAAGCTAGTTGTTAAAAGCAAAAAAAAAAAAAAAAAAAGAAAATGAAAAGATGGGACTAGAATACAGGTAACTAATTGCTACTGTCCAAAAGAGGCCTATGCTATCTCAGCAGCCCCTTCAAGCTGTTATATTGGAATTCAAATGATAGTAAGCGTGTTAAAGATTTCATCACTATTTATTACAAGTTATTCCCAGCCCTTGATAAGCCTGGGCAGGTAATTTTGATACCAGCACTGAACAATGCTACCATAGGTGAATGTGACCTTGTCCCGACTTGGTTGCTAACACACACGCGTGTTGTGCATTTGTATCCAGGTATAGTAAATCAAGAGTCATCCCAGAGCTATTCTTATTCTTTGGAATTTCATCTATAATGAAAATGAGTAGATAACCTAGGCTGAAATAATGATTTTATGTATCTGTGCATGTTTCATTTTGAAGTTGTAAGTTTTCTTCATTATGAAGTCTTTTGGAACATGACTTTTTTATAACTAACTTTCATAATATGAAATCCCTTTTTCCTTATTATTACTGTGGAATTGATATGAGGTTTGTTAATCTTTTTTGTTTTTGTGGAATTAGTAATCCAGTGTAATTTTTAGTAAACAAGCAATTTTTATTAAAATTGGATGTGCTTCATATGTCTTAGTTGTTAATACAGTTTTAATTTGGATGTGTATTTCCTGAGCTGTGCATCAATGTCACAGATGAATAAAAGGTCAACCTGAGTAAATCACTGTCATGATAGTGTCATGGTAGCTGCAATATTGGCTTCCAAGCTAAGACTAGAGAGTGTATGTATTGTTTATCAGTGGAAAAAACGTAATTTGTTATGTAAAAGTTACAGATCGGGGATTTTCAGATCTCACTGTCTTTGTTATCCCTGTGCTCTGATTCAAGGGTGCAGAGCTATATGCAGAATAAACCAGTACATTCCATTGCTCTGGAAAAAACATAATTTGTTATGTAAAAGTTACAGATCGGAGTTTTTCAGATCTCACTGTTATCCCTGTGCTCTGATTCAAGGGTGCAGAGCTATATGCAGAATAAACCAGTACATTCCATTGCTCTGATGGCAGCATTTTTTGAAGCTCTCCTCTGTTTCTGGTCATTATTTGATCAAACTTAAGCGTCTAATAAGAAGGGGAGGTAACTGCCTTTATGCTTTTTTGTACCTTAGTCACTGGCAAAAAAAAAAAAAGTTTCTTTGTGCCTGCCATCCGAAGTCATACCAATTTGCAAAAGAAATGCCATAATGCCTGCTGGCTTATTTTTCTTCTACTTCCTTAAGATCTTTTTTCCACACCCTTATACAGTGCAGCCTTTTTTGGTGATGGTGTGTGACATTATTGTCTTTGAAGTGGTACTTTCAGCTCTTTGAAGAAATGTGCTTGTTATAGGTAGGGCAGAATCTCACATGAGGACTCTTTACATCTCGGTGTTTTATCTTGGATGGATAGTTTATCATGCAGAAAAATGAAGTCATGCTTGATTGGTTATCAGTTGAAAATAATAGTAGATGAAATCATAAACAGGTCTATAAGGCTGAGTCTTGTATCATTAATTCGTACTGTTCAAGTGATGAGACTTGAGATCACTTTAAATGCAGAACTCTTGGGGAAATTGGATACCCAGCAGTTAATTACTTATTTGCAATTTCTTTTTTATGTTATGTGAATATCTCAATTCCTTTAATACAAGGGATACGTCTTGCTTTAGCTAGCTTTTGATAAAGATTAGTTCTACATTATCAATTGCTTTTGTGTACAAGTAGCACGCTACAAATTATTTGAAATTTTTTGTGCTCATCTTGCCTGGTGAGTGAAAATCCTTCAGGCCTTTTTTAAGAAACTAGTTCAGAAGATTAACAGTTGCCAAGTAATATTTTTCTAGCAATATCTTCTATTAGGCCAAGCCATTTACCTTGATAATATATCCATTACAAATTGGAGAGACATTAACATATGAAATAGATTAATATCTTACAGGTTGTCGTTTCTTCACAATTTAGCAAAACCTTGTGATAAATCTACATGGTTAACTGTTACAGTTGTTGCCCAAACCCCATACCAGTTTTGAAATCTTGACAGATTTTGCAAGCTGGGTGGCTGCCTGCTGCGTGCGTCAGCTCTTGCCACGGCATTTGCACAACTGCTGGGTAGGGCTTCTGGGGGGCTGCAGGCTTGGTCCAGCACCATGCGGTAATGGTGGGAAAATGGACTCTTGTTTATAATGAACCATGAGTTGGAAATACACTGAATTTCCTCAAGTTAGCCATAGTGGCTGAATCAGCAGTGTCCTTACTGGTGTCAAAACAGGCTTTATTTGACTGTTTTGTAAGAAAGGATTAATTTTAAAACCTTCGTAGAAAAAAAGGATATGACTCGTGTAGTGAGACATCTTCAAAGGGGCACACAGGTTACACACAGTGTCTTGTAGTGCTTTTTTTAGGGTTCTCAAAATGAGAAAGTTGGAAAGTAGGTTTGGTGAGGCGTTAATAACTGCATGCAAATACATGCACATACATCTATTTCTGGCATCTAGGAAGTAGCATTTGAAATGCTGTGAAATGGCTGGCGGATACAGGAGGCAGCTGGGGTTTTTTGGCCTGTGCCAAGTGAAAGTCCTCCTGTTGGTAAAAGTGAAATTGATTTGTTTCTTTTTTCCCTCCCCTGATTTCAAGCGTTCATGAGGTGGTAGGCAGATCATGCATAGTTTTGTAGAGGCCATCTCAGATTTATAAAAAGAACAGAAACTATATCATTTTAGGAGCAATTTTTTAAACCGTTTAGTAGTCAACTTGCATTCAAAGAGAATTTCAGCCTTGGACACCATACTTCACTTCCAGTCAGTTTCTGATACCAGCCTTGGTCAACCCAACATGAATATTCAATGTTAAGTTGAAAATTTCTTTAATGAATCACTTTGGGCATTTGAGCTGACCAGAAATAGAGTCTTACATTGCATAAAGTATGGTTGCATAGAAGAGTTCTGTATCCCTGTTTTTTGGAAAGTGGCTCTACTGGGACTGTGTGCAAGTAAAGGAAAAAAAGGAAACCTTGATGCCATTAGTTTGTAAAAATTAGCATACAAACCGGGGAATTGGGCACAGCCTTGAGAGAGATCCTCATTTTACCCATGGTTGTAAATCTAGTCTAGAGTTGATATTACTTGCTGTTTCTGAGATAGTTGTGTTTGTCTGCATTTTAACACTTGCAATTTAGTGCATTGGATAAGTAACAGATTTCTTCTTTTAACACCTTTTTATAGCTATTTGATTAATAAAATGAAGCCCGCAAAGCTGCACTATTGGATTCTGGGTTGGTTTTCTATGGCATTATGTTGTTCGTGTACATCAGATAAATTCACTCAAAGGTAAGTTATGCTTTAAAAAGAAATCTCTGACATTTCTTTCTTAAGTGCGGAGCAGAATAGTTTAACTTCTAATGAGTGTAAATTCTCTTATTATGTGCTGGTTTTGATGTGTTATTCTTCCCTTAGGTAACTGGTAAAATGAGACATCTACATTAACTGGAGGAGTGGGGGTCATGCCTAAGAAAAGCTTTACGTTTATTAATGTGTCAGCATGAAGAAAGAGGGAAACTTAAATTTACATTAATTGCACTTAAACTTTGCAATTTTGCTTTAAATTAATCATTTAGACTTGTGATGTAATAATGACAAAAATCAGAAATAATTTTGGAACCTATAATGAAAAACTTAAATCATTCCTGTGGCATGAATTGCACCAACTGTTACACTGTATACTTTTTTAGTATTTTTTTTCTTTATATTTTCTCAGTTCCAATAATTTTAAATTCTTTGGGGCTGTATCAATGCCATGCAGCCTCTTGCTGGTTGTTGCACTTGGCAAAATCCGAGTTTGAATGCCAGTGGGCCATGGGGGAACCCATGCTCCAAATCACACCCTTCTGTGGTAAAAAGACAGATTCCTATTGCATTATATTAGGAAATAAACTTTTCTTGCTTTCAGTGTTTTGGCAAGAGAATGATTAAGGGTGCTCAGTTCAGTGCTGAACTTCATATAATGGCTAAATTGCAGCTGGTTGGTAGCTTAGACACTATGCTGAGGTTTCTCAAATCCCCAGAACTTGGGCTGTGGCTTGGCCATCTTGGTGGCAGAGGCAGCTCTGGAGGCACAGTGCTGACTGCACAGAGCAGGATAACTCAAGTCAAAAAAAGGGGAGATATCCCTGACACTGGATAGGTATTGCAAATGGCTTTCCTTGGATTCCAGTTCTGAGCTTAAGTTTCTAAAACTTGCTCTAGTTAATAACCAAAGTTTTCTGACCTATCCTTACCCAAAAAGTGTGTTCTAGGAGTACTTGTTTTGGCATGATTGTCATTGCAGAAGTTCAGCTGCTGTTTCAAATACAGATGAAAGATGGTATTTCTCTAAGCAAGAATTTTTTAAAACAAGGAAATGAGCCGCTCTACAATATTGGGGAATTCTTCTATTCAGGTTTCCACAGTAGCAGTAAAGACCAGTTAGAAGTGTTAATAATTTGCATTGTGGCTATGCCTGATTTGTTCCAGAGCTATTCTGCAAAATTATTTAAAAACTACAGACACATGTGAATGCTCACGAGAAAATGTGGCCATTGCAAACTAGCAAAACTAGGGAAAATATTGAGAAGTGATATAACATGGGAGCATCCCTGCTTTCTCACGTTGAGAAGAATTAGCTTTCTCATATTTTTTTATATAACCTCTGGCCAGCACTAATGAAGGACATGTGGCTATTAGCTTCCAGAGAATAACAATTTATTTTGACAGTACTGCACATAGAGCTGTCAGTTTGAACCATTTACAGTTCTGTTTTTGTTGATTTTCCCACTTGCTCTTCTATTTAATCACTTAGTGTGGTTGCTTAATAGCTAAATGTATCTGCTGTAGTGTTTGAAACAACAGGGTTTTTTATCTACTTCTAGTTTATCCAGAATAGATATGCTCCAAACTGTTGGAAAATGCCTCTGCAGAAGTGGAAGTCTTTCTTTTTTAGAAGAGTAGTTACAGTTCCAAGAATGTTGTATACTTTCCTTTCAGCTAATATATCCATCAAGAAGAATTAGAAGATTCTTAACATCCTAAACCAAGATATGTTGGTTTTTTTATTACTATTATTGTTGTTGTAAAAGCTTGCCAGTAAGCACTTTCCTAAATGTAAAACAGAACATGTTTCTTCTGTATTTAAGAAATGGAAAGCATATGGAGATAGGATGCCAGGAGTGAAATTTGTTGAAGAGCGGGGGGAATATTACCAGGTTTCTAAATACGTTGTTTCTGTATGATTTCTTAATTTGGTCCTGCTGTGTTTGGAGTTCTCAAATATTGCAATAAAAGCACCAAGCAACAACCATCTCTAAAATCAATGTGTTACACTAGTAAGCATTGTGATGCTGGCTGAAGGTGGTGTTCTTTTTAAAATGCTTGAGGAAAAATAGATTTGTCTTTCTCCAGTGACAACCATCCTCATACCTGGAAGAAGCTGTATCTTGCTCATCATTGGCCAGTGACTGTATGTAAGGTGAGATTTTTGTGTCTTGTTCTCTTTTATCCTGACAATGGTAGCCTTGGACAGTAAATGTTTGAAAACAGAATGAATGAAGGCCATCAAGCATTTAGTCTGGTATATGCCCTTATAGCTTTATAAAGGCTTTCACTGATCTTAGTGCAGCTTTTGCTACTTCCCCTGCACTCTAGACTAGCAGTAAACAAGATAGGGTTGTCTTATGTTACAAATACAGTATGTCCTACATGGAACACTAAGCCTTAATTGCTTGTTGCATATTCTGTGATGACTTGTTAGTTGTAAACTTAATCCTAGACTTTCACCAGGCTCTGCAAGGAGACTTGCCTGCCTTGTCTGACTGAAGACACCAGATTAGTACTTGAACTGTCCACTGCACAACAAGTTTTAGCTTTGTAACATTGGCTCCAGCATTTTAATCATGTCATCAAATATGGATTCAGTCAGGAAAAAGAGAGCTATAAAGCTGTTACGGCAGGTGTCTCTAAGCATTTCTGTATTTGAGTGGTGGCAACCAAAAATGAACCCAAACTTCCAACATATATCTGTCAAAAGCACAGCTAAGAGGTGTACTACTTATATCCCTTTTGCTATTGAATATCTACTACTATCTGATAAGTAGAACATTTTTCCTATGCCGGTAATACTTGAAGGCCTGTTCTCATACAGCGAAGTCAAAAATACGCTATACTTCAAAATGGAAGATGTGATCAGATTTTGTGACACAAGGATGAAGAACCCTGTGGGTAATAGAGAAGCTTCAGGTTTGGGCAAATGTCTCTGGAGCCAAAAAGGTCCCAATTCTGGGAGACCTAGCTTGGTTTATTACAGTATTAGCGTCTTACTTGTTGTGCGTTAGGTGCTTTTTTATTTCTCTTTCCTGTTTCTGGAAATACGTATAAAAGCAGTAGCAGCAAAAGTCACATACTGCCTGAATTTCTGAGGAAAAGTAGATGTACTTTACATTAGTAACATGTGGAGGGGCAGTATCAATGACAAAACTCAGATGTGCATGTCTGACTGAGACCAAGGAGTGGCCACTGTTCTGTTTTTTGTTTGTTTGCCTGTTTCTGATGGGGAATAAGGGCAGATGTGATGCAATTTGTGTCTGATTTTCTGTTGAGTAAACATCCCTATTATTGACTTCAAGCAGAGATGTTGGTGTTCAGGAGTTTGTAGTGCCTGGCATGAGTGGGCATTCAGAGTCAGTAGCAGTGCAAACCCTTGCTTACATGAATGAGATGCAAACAATTAAAAAAATTTTTAAAAACCACCCAAAAAGCCCCACAAACCAACCAAACAAACCCTACCAACCAGTTTTCCCACTGTATATTCATGCTGGCTGCTACTTTTAATTCCAGGGTAGTGCTACTGATGAATTGACAAATAACCTTTATAAACTTACAGTGAAATCACAATGAATAATTGAAGATATTAAGCATCAGAAAATGTAAGCTTTCTTACACTTTGTTGATTCCTTATGATACTCTGTAGTAAGAGGTGGACAGAAGAATTCCAAAGGAGTGAAGACAAAGTGAAATTAAAATCATATTAAGTGACTTTGTGCCCAGTTTCACATCACGGAGTCATATGAAGAAACAGAATCTCAACTGTACTCCCGTAACAACTTTCTTTTTTCTAATGTTAGTGTAAGAGGAGTTCCCAAATTCACCTGTGGGCTTTTGTTTAAGTACATAGACTCTTCTGCATGTTCAGTGTATTGATATGATTGCTGTGTTATTTCAGGGAGGAAATATTTTTAATATCATTCTTCAGTTTAAAACTGTTGACACAATGTTGAAAGGAAGAATAGCTGCGTGAAGGAAACTGCCAAACTCATTATATCATTTATGTAAAAAAACTTTTGAGACACTACTTTGTGCAAGTACTTAACTAGTTCATGCTTCCTATATAAAGGAACCCGATTATAGTCTACTTTGCTACATACTGTGTTCTTGATACCTGTGTGGGTGACCTACATCTTAATTTCTACCTGTTTTGCCTATCTGTGTTCCAAAGGTCTTTCAGGCTTTTAAGGTGCTTTTAAAAATTTAATGGGCACAGTTCAGCACCAGAACTGAATTGAGAATACGTATCTCCCAGCTTTTCCTGTGCTTTAAACTGTACGTGTCCAGCTGGTGCTTTTTAATAGAGTGTAATCAGCACAGTTAAACTGGAAAGTAAGTGCTTTGTAATCATATCTTCCAAACTAACTTATTAAAATAAAATAGTGAGTATCATGGAAGCAATAATAACCCCAGGACTTAACTGCTGACTGCTGGAGTGAAAGGGTGAAGGAGGAAGAGAGATGTTCTTTTTCATCATGTGATTAGAAATTCCAGTACCATAGAATTGACCTAAAGTGTTTATGTCTTCTACAAAGATATGCAAGCTAAATTCACAGACCTCAAGTGATTATTAATTTAACGTTCCCGTAATAAATTGTGCCTGTCACGCAATTTATTGCACTTCATGTGGGTAATGCAATGTGTATGGTTAATGTCACAGTTAAACTTTCTGGTCACAAATTAATGTGAATTCTGTTAGGTGGAAATAGGAGCAACTCAAGGGCAAGAAGAGGGACTTTACCCCTCCCTTGTTACAGAGTTGTGAAAATCTTTAATTCAAGAGCTTAGAAGTGCTATTGCAGCTTTTGCATCTTGGAGATTGCAAAAAGAGAAAATTTTTGTGGCTGTTTTCTTGTGAAATGGGGAAAATCTGATGCAAGTTGGCTATTCAGTTCCTCCTCCGAGGGTGGGAAGGATGATGAAGAAATAGGTACTAAACCCTGGTGTGATCTGCTTTTTACTGCATGTATGTGCTGATCAAATGAAAAAATCAAAGAAAGGACAACAGAACAGCCTGGTGAACAGAACAGTGTGAATTCAAGTTTGAATGTAGTGTTAAGCAGCAGATGAAATTAAATTTTTAAATACGAGAAAAGATTTTCGTAACTTCAGGCTTTGGCAATAATTTTATAGTAAAGGCTTAAAGGAAGAATAGAAACACTTTTTTTTTCTTGGGGATTTTTTGGTAAAAATAGAAGTAGTCACATAATATAGAAAGAATTGAAGTGACTAAGATGAGGGCAGTACACTATTGTGAATCAGCATTAGATCACAAGTTCCTTAGATAAAAGGATACCTTTATTTCTTTGTTTGTATACTAAGCCAGACATGTCAAAGTGAGTCCAGCTCTTGACATACGCTATTTTGGAAAACAAGAAAGTGTTTTCCTAAGTGCCTGTATAACTCATAACTCTTAGTCTATGCCTCCTGTTTCTGTCTGGCTAAGGTCTGGTTTAGATGTTTTTGTGAGACTTTATCTTCTGTAAGGATAAACACATAAAAGGTTTCAGCTTATCAGCTCATGCTAGAGAGTTGTTCAACATGAAGTAAATTTGTTTTATTTCCCTCCCAATTTTTTTCAGCAACTTTATAAATTTGGTTCATTCATTGATTGGTTTTACCCCAAGGGGTGGGGTGAAGGAGGAAGGGGGATAATTACAGACTGTTTGGGGAAGAGAAATTGAAGAGGTGAACTCTCTCCACAGTTTTAAAAGCAAGGATTTTTCATAGCACTTGTGATGTTTCATTACAAAATAACATTTAAAATTGATCTTAATTAAACAAATGGCCTGTTTAAACAGTGTCGTTGAAAGGGAGAGCAGGCTTAAGTATTTCACTTTCCAGAAGCTGAGTTTTTATTTAAACTTGGGGTACCTATATGTGATCCAGTAGCACTACCCTCTCCTATGTACAAGCTGGTATACCAAGGGATTTGTAACTTGGGCAGCTCTACAGGTAACAGTTCTGTGACAGTTTGGTGTTTCACTTTCTGGCATGTCAGAGGTGCAAGGAGCTCCTGTGCTTCTAGCAGCCGCTGTTTGTCTGATGTCTTGCTGTTACAAATGGGCTCATGTCTCTGCAGCAGCATTCCCTTTCCCCTAGAGAGCCATAAAGGCTTTCTAGCACTTTTCTCAGTGTTACAGATCATGTATGGTTAACTTGGATTGGTTTGATCATCAGATTGCTTTAAAACAGCAGAAAGCCATGTTCCTTTTTCAGATTAATCTAGATACAGAAGGTTTTCTGGGGTCCAATGCCTACTTGAAAATAGACATTTGTAACTGTTTCAAGTCAATGGTTGCCTAAGGTTGAATTAATCCTTCAGCAATCACTGTGTATGATGAACAGGAAGGCTGACAATAAGTGTTTTTGCAGAAGCGTCAGGGGTACCCAGCTTCTCAGACTAGCGTTTGCTCATTTTATATATTGATTTAAAATGAACATTGAAAAACTGTTATGGCTAGAGTTAAAAAGGAGGATGAATGAATCTGGGCAAAGCATGCAAAGTGTGACCTAATGCGTTCTACGTTGCATTAGCCTCACAGTTCTGCCAGCACACAGTGTAACACCAAGAGCCTGATGAACTGTGCAGAAGAAACTGCTAATAAGGTTAGTGCCATGATAGGGGAGAACTGATTCCAAATTTAAAATACTCTGGGCTTTCCTTTAGCGTGTCTGAGAACACGTGTCCTGTGAAGAAGGGCTGAGAGAGTTGGGGTTGTTCAGCCTGGAGAAGAGAAGACTCCAGGGAGACCTTTTTCCAGCCTTCCAGTACTTAAAGGGGCTTATAAGAAAGATGGGGAGAGGCTTTTTAGCAGGACCTGATGCGGTAGGACACGGAGTAATGGTTTTAAACTAAAAGAGGGCAGATTTAGACTAGACATAAGGACGAAATTGTTCATACTGAGGGTGGTGAAACACTGGCCCAGGTTGCCCAGAGAGGTGGTAGATGCCTCATCCCTGGAAACATTCCAGGTCAGGTTGGACGGGGCTCTGAGCAACCTGCTCTGGTTGAAGCTGTCCCTACTCATTGCAGGGGGGGTTAGACTATATGACCTTTAAAAGTCCCTTCCAACCCTAACTGTTCTATGAACTGCAGTTAAAAATTGGATAAGGAGCACAGTTACACTGTTCTTGTTACCCAACTCAGCTGAGCAAGCTGGTTAGCTGTCAGGGGGCTTTTCAGGGGATGATGCATTAGCTGCTGGCTATTAATTTGCTGTATTTTGGGCTGGATAGCTGAATTATTTGAGGTCCACAAAGTCTATGTCATGACAGGAGCAGTGTTGTTTAGGCATTTGCAGTGTGTGTTTGTTGACAATATTCCTTTCAGGAAAAAAAGCTGTTGCTGGGTTTAATTGCTTCTATTGGTGGCAAGAGAGAGAACAAGGAAATGGACACAGAACAAGGAAGTCTTGCAGAGCTTGCAGTTTTGCTGCCTGTGGCATGTGGAAGGCAATTAGTGAGATTATAGGCCTCTCTGCCTTTCTCTACACTCTGCTTTTGCTCTGGCATCACATAAAAGGCACTGTGGCATAATTAAGGCAGGATGCAGAGCTGAAAAGGAAAGCTATTATTATGAGGAAAGAAAGTCTGAGGAGGCTGTTATTTAATGGTGAAAAGTGTTTACAAAAAAGAGCCATAATTACTAAGCAGAAAAATCAGGGAAAATACAGTAGTGGTATTCTGTGATGTGTGAACATGGATTTTTTGGTTTTGTTCAGGAGTACGTACTCTGATCCAAACAGTGATTAATGTGTAGGCTATTTCTCCTGCATTATCAAAAGTTTTGACTAGGGGTGCTTTTTTGGTAGGAATGTATATAGTCTTTCCTCTCCTCTCCATTCCTTTGTCCCTCAAGTCAAAATTTAAAAAAAATATATTCTAGCAATTTTACTTGGAATAAGCAACCTATTTAATCTTTTCTTTGTATTTTTCCCTTTTAATACAACCGTAGTGGTTTAGCCCCAGCTGGCAACTAAGCACCACGCAGCTGCTCGCTCACTCCCCCCTCCCCCAGTTGGACGGGGGAGAGAATTGAGGGAAAAAACTCGTGAGTTGAGACAAAAACAGTTTAGTAGGACAGCAAGAGAGAAGGAAACGACAATGATGATAATAATACCGACAAAGGGATGTACAAGAACAAGTGATGCGCAATACAGCAATAGCTCACCACCCGGCGATCGGCAGCCTGTCCCTGAGCAGTGATTTCCCCCCCCCCGCTAACTCCAGTTTATGTACTGGGCATGACGTCGTATGGTAGGGAATATCTCTCTGGCCAGCCTGGGTCAGCTGTCCTGGCCGTGTCCCCTCCCAGCTCCCCATGCACGCCCAGCCTTCTTGCTGGCAGGCCAGCACAAGAAGCTGGACTCTCCTTGACTACTCAGCAACAACTCAAAACATCAGCACCTTATCAACATTTTCTCATCCCAAATCCAAAACCTAGCCTCACACTAGCTTCTGTGAAGAAAACCAACTCTATCCTGGCTGAAACGAGGATGACAACAACAACAGAACTACTGGATGCTTTAAGATGGTTGTGTGCTTGTCTAATATTATAGTTTATGTTGATGTTTTTTATTCTAATGGCTCTGCACTCCTTGAAAAGATCTGATGATGAGAAAAATACAGAGATATGCCATCTAGAAAGTGATAAATGCAATTTTGGGTCCATTCATTTAGCACGGATCAGGCTACTTTCTGTTACCTCAACCTGTCCTTTGTCATCTTTATACACTGCTTGTTCAGGATGCCCACAATATTCACTTGATCTGCTTCAAAATTTTAATGCCAGTTGGTCTCTGCTAAGTGGCACATGATCCATGACAGTTTCAGGTAACTGAAGTTCACCAGTTCCTGATATGGGCAAGCAAAAATTCTCATGTCTCACTAGAGCCTTGGACCACCAGTGAATGAACTTTTAATTTTTTCCTCTTTGTCTTTTTTTCCCTGGACACATATAAAAAATACTCTGTATTTTTGTTTTCTACAGATGAGTGCTAATGATTGTCAAGACCCTCCAGAGTACTGGACAATCCATGGACTATGGTATGATCATAGAATGTTTTTATTTCATCCTGGAAAGGAAAAATCCAAGTTTTGTATTAGGATATTTGGTGCTTTTTTTTTAAGGACTTATCTATCTGTTTTTATGATTCTTTGAAACAAAAGCCTTAATTTTGTTGGAAATCAAACCCCTATGGTTTGATATAAAACTGAAATACATTTCTGTATCTCATGTCTTGCTGAGCTGCTGAAATCCTCTTGCCACATGAGCATTTTATTTATACATCTCCTTATAAGATCAGTAAAGTTCTCAAATAGAAGGGGAAGTATAGTTTCCCCTTTCCCTTCCCCCCCCCCCCCTTGAGTATACAGAGTTTGTTAATGTCTCGTGACTGCTTGTGGCTTTAAGTATTTTAACTCAGCACAAATATTGCAAAAGTACAGGAAACTTGTAACAGTAACTTGCTTCAGAGGAATCAACTCACTGGAATTGGTGCCAGTGGCAGCAATTCAAAGGTTTTCCTGACAAATACAGGGAAAAAATCAGTACAGGAGTTTAAGTTATGCATCCTGGAAAGGTGAACACTATTATGCCTAGATTTCCAGTGAGTGTCTTGGTGATGCTTGCAGAATCACTTGGTGCTGTGGTTGAGGTCAATGTCATTAGTGACATCATGTGCAAAACCCTTCCATATCATTTCTCCCCTTGTATGTCTTTTACACAGAGTGAGGGGGACTGGAGGGCCTAACAAAGAGCCTCTGCATGGGAAATGTTTTGGCCATAATTAACGTCTTGAATTTTTACTTCTAAAACACTGTAGATACTGATGGGTTACTTGCATTTTTAAATAAAATCTCTAGCTATAATCTTGCATATTTACAGTTCAGGCTAATGATATAGAATAAAATGCTGTTACTTACCATTAATGAGTTAGGAGATGTCTTTTTTCACTTTTATTTGGCTTCCCTAGGCCTGACAAAACAGAAGAGTGTAATAGGACATGGCATTTCAACGTCACCGAGATTAAGGTATTTATTTAAAACCAAAACAGCTGTACCAAGCAGAGCTGAGTGCAGTTACTTTTGCACATCCTATATGCAAAATTTGTAGCTTATAATGTATCACTTAATGTTTGCTGAGAGGTATGTTCTTTAAGGACTCCACAGATTCGTTAAGTGCTTCTGGTACTGCTTGAAGTTGCCATGCTTGTGATCATTATCAGCTGTTCCTGCTTGATTTTGTAGACATGTGGTTTGACTCATTCAGCCACATCCTCCTTAAAAACATCTAGAGAACACAAGTGGTGGATCTGCAGTGGCAAAAAGTACCTGTGAAAAAGAGGTTACAGTCAGTCCATGTTCTCTCTTACACTTTCTACTGCAAAGCCAGAACACAGAAAATAAGAGTTCAGAATACATGTTTCTGTGTGTTTTCTTCCAGGGTATTAGTCCTTTTTTATTCTGTTTTTTTTTAATTTAAAAAAAATCCATATTTTCATTCAAATGTGTTGTAAACAGGGATAGGAGGCTTGACCTGGTGTATGTGAAAAGCTGCATGATTGAACAACTTCTGCAGGGACAGGTGAAAGAAAATCTTACTCTGAGGCAGCATGTTGGTATTAGTACGTTCAGATATTTAGATAGTTGCACCTACCTGTTACCTTCAACAACATTTTCAGAATATTGGGGTAAAAGACCTTTTCTTTTTCTGTGAGTACAGGTTTCATTTGAGGATGTTGAAAGATGAGGCTTCAGTTTAGAAAAAGTATCCGTGTATGTAGATTGTGTAAGAAACAGGTTTTTGACACTGTAGGTGCATTTATCAATTGTGATATTTTTAGGATCTTATGTCAGACATGAGACGCTATTGGCCTGATGTGCTTCACTCATCTCTAAATCGCACCCAGTTCTGGTGAGTACAAAAAAACCTAAAAATTTTTTTGGATATTATTTTATAAAAAAATCCATCTGAGTAATTTGTCAAGTGAGATGTTGTGCATGAGAAGCAGTATCCAGCAGGCCAATGAAAATACTGTGGTTTGTCAGTCTCATTTACAAAATAAATCTGTTTTCTTGTTAGAGCACCTGCAAAATGCAGCTGTTGAAGGGGGGGCTGTGGCAGAGGTTTTGGAGAAATTGAACTTAGTGAAAGAGAGAGAGAGAGAATGGGTTTCCTTCCTTTGCCCCCAGGGAGGAGAAGCAGCTGCTGTTGAAATCTGAATAGCAGTAGCACTCCTGGGATGTCACAGCTAGCTGCAAGAGCAGCTTCCAGGCCTCTCTTCCTAGCTAGCTTCACTGTGTTGCTGGCTTTGAGAGACCTTTCCTTTTGGGCTTTCTCACTGAGGAAGAAATGGAAAAATAGGATGCATTGGATCATAGTAACCACTTCTCTACAGAATTCTCTCTTTTTACTTACTTTCCTAGCAGCCTAAAATCAGATCTGGGAATTTATGTAGAGATGAAACTGCTTGGCTCATGGGAAGGGAGAAGGAGATTTTGATGTATCCTGATGGCAGTACTGTTTCCCTTCTTCTCCATGTTGCTCTTTGCTGCTGAATAATCAGACACTTGAACCAAAGAGTGGTACGAGTGGTATTTGAGTTTGCACAGGATTCAGTTCGAGTGCATTATTTTAAACTAAAATCAGTGGCCATTCAAGTTAATTTGCTGAGCCATGAGCTGGATCGGCCAGGGTGTGGATCTGCAATTTGTTCTTTCAGATCTACAGTGAAAGCAGTAACCTCAGATAAGAAGCAGAGCACATAGCTAGAGGCAGTAGCATTTAAAGCCATCTCAAATATAAGTGCCCATAAGTTTTTCTTTGGATTGGATGTCTGTTTCCACCCTGTGTCACTAGGAAAAGCTTTGAAGGTAATCTGCATCTCTTTTAGTCTTTTCCTTCCTCTACAGAAGACGCTTGTTCTCAGAGTCTTAAACTGGTTCCACAAGTGTCTTATGGCAATCTAAAATTATAACTGTCAAAAGTGGTGGTGTCACTTTTCCCTCCCCCCTCTCCTGTTCTTGCGCTGTGCTGGGGGAGAGCATGACTGCTTTGTTCTGCGGTAGTACAAGTTTGTGCCACCTTAAACTGTTCCTGGAATTAGAATACGAAAAATGTGTTTTAAATCTGGCACTTTCCATATCCTGACCTGTTCATAAAAACAGGTGCATACCAGTCCTTATTTTACTAACAGAGATATTTTGGTAGGCAACAGGTATGAACAGATACAATCAAAACCTTTTCCCTTTCAGTTCAAGGCTAGCAAATAGCACTTACTTCAGTACCTGGAGGTATAATTAGAAATATCATAAAAGCAATACAAAAATCAGGTTATAACACTGTAACTGATATTTTGGTTGACAGAGAAATTCAATCCCTTTCAGTAAGTGCACTGTAATTGGCAGTTCTAATTGCAGATTTTGTAAATGCGAGCTTTTAAGCCAATTGAAAGCCAGTAAGATTCCCTTGTACATCTCCCTTCAGTTAAAATACTGTGTTTACTTCAAAATTTAAAAAAAAAAAAAAACCTCTATAGTGTAAAAATCCCAATACAGCAGAAATGAGAATCTGAAAGTAAAGCTGACTATTCACAATTTTTATTGTTGTAGACTAAAGGCATCTTAACTGGGTAAAGAGCATGAGCAGTGACAAGCAAAACGGATATTGAATATCTTAGCATATCATATCAGGGTTTTTCGAAGACTGCTATAATTGTATAGTATGTTTCTTCCTGGCTTTACCTCTAAATGTAGCCCTGGCTTAAAAGGGGAGGTAAGGAATCTTCCTGGTGATTTTAGGATGGCTGTGGGTGCTTCTGTAAAGGTAACTGCACATCTCTGTTCACCCTGTTAACTTCTGAACTGTGAGAATTACCACCCAAGAGTTTGGGTCGGACAGGATAGAATGCCTTAATACAGGACAAAGGGTTATGTGTGCTTTGTATCTCAAAAGTTATTAACTGAAACCATCCCTTTTATAGTAGTTAATAATTTTTTGGGCCAAATGAAAATGGCTAGACCAAGAGAATTCCCTTCAGGATCAGTTTATACATATAACGCAGAAGAAGGCATAGCTTATGGGACAGCTGGATGTCCTTCATCTTCTACATTTTGTGGGCAGTGCTTGCAGCTGTGCTTTACAGACCTTCTTTGTTCCTACCCTAACAATGAGCCAGTCATCAAGCTGGGTGGTTTCTATAATCCTGGGACCCACCTGATAGGCTCCTGACTTGGTCACATCTGTGTGACTTTGCTTGAGGGAGACCTGTCCTTGTTGTACATAACAGGAAGCAAAAATCTTTTTGAGGTTCATCTTCCTTTCCACACCGCTGAGTTGTACCAGTTTCATTTCTTTGCATCTCTGCAGCCCCCTAAGACTTCATTTGTAGGACTTAGCTTTGAGGTATGCAAGTGTAGTGTTTATTCTTAGCAGCCTGGTAGAGAAAACGGTGGAGAAGGACAAGCTATGTAGCAGAACCCAGTCTGGTGCTGTAAGCCCCACTCCTGTGTGTCTGCCGAAGTACTTGTGTCCTACCAGGAAGAAAAAATATTCAGCAAAGTTCTTGACAGATAATGTAATGTGCTCTGCACTACTGCCTAGCTCATGGGTATGAGGTACAGAAGGATGGGTGGCCTTCGTGAATAGACAGCTGTGTTTTGTATCCACGTGCCACCCAGCTGTGAGCTGAGGCTCAAGTGGAATTACCTTGCCTTACTGTGGCCTAGGTGAAGGATAATGTGTCTTGGTGAATAACATTGAGACATTAATTCTTTTGGTTTCTAAACAAATTATTTTATGTTATACCCTGGTACCTGCAGCTCCTTCATTTCTTAACTGCTTCAGTTTGCATTTAAATGGAAGAAGTGAGGGTGAAATTTTATATGCCTGTGCTGAATGGTCAGAATTAGCTGTATCTGCATAATTATTTTTTTTCACATGGCTGTGCTGCAAAATAAAGTATCACTGGCAAGAGTGCCATCTTAGAGTTTCAGTAATTGTTTTGTAGTGACTCTAAAGTAGCCCCTACATTCTGGAAGCTTGCAGGACTGATTAAAAAACTTGGGTGCAGTGTATTTTTAGTTTGCCGCAGCTGATGATGCATGGGCACAGTCTGTGGGTAGCTCTGTGTATTTTCACTTGGGATCCCCACAGCCCCATTGCCTGGGGCCTGTGACCACTGCAAACTGGACCAAACCACTCCAATAACAGTTTCGTGTTAGCAATAATATGCTTCTTGAGCACCATCAGACCTTTGGCCCTCTGTTTTCCCCCACTGCCTGCAGATCTGCAGGTGATCTTATTAAAGACTATACTGTTTAGTCTTTCACTGAACTACAGAATTGCTAGAAATGCCCCATTTTTGTCCTATTTGAGTTTGTCTGCCATAAAATTGCAAGCATTGCTTTCTTTTGCACTCTGTTCCGTGGTATTAGAACACTTGATGGTGGAATAGAAGCAACACTTGAGAACAAGCCTATGAAAATACTGCCACAGGCAGTGTTGTAAGTAAAAGTTGAGGCAACAGTCTTGTCTTAGCCGCTTGTGCAGTTTCACTCTTCTATCCAAAGTAAGGGTTAGTCTCTTCAGTTCTGACTAATTTTTAGTGCTTTGAAAGTACATTTAGCATAAAATACTCTACTAAAACTTGTACAAAGTTTAGAAATATTAATTTTCTAGGCAAATTCTTATCATTCTGACCTCCAAACATCTCTTTGTAATACACTGAGACACCTTTGTACCGTAAGAGCATGGTACATATTTACTTCATAAATTCCTTCGTTTAATTATTTCAAAAACAAGCTGATTCAAAGGAGACAGCTAAAAAAGCAAACATCCAAACTGCTTGGTCCAACTTAATCTAAAGAAACACCGTCATAAACATCTAAAGACACACTGCTTTTGGCTTGATAAAGTTCTGTCACATTCTTGTGACACAAAGTTCTTTTAGTCACCTTTGAAATGAAGTATTGGTTTATTCCATAACGGTGTCTATCTTATCTCCTCACCTTGCAGTGTCCAATCTTAAAAAGATAGCTGGTGGCAGTGGGGAGAAGAGTGTCATCCCTTTGGTTGGATAACAAGTGAAGGGCTGAACTATAAATGACTTTTGCACAAATTCATATATATAGTTTATAGGAAAACAGAATACTGATTCTGAATGTCCCAGGTCCATACTAATATCCAAACCATCAGACCATCCTCTTCTTAATCTTCTACAGCTCTTACATTAATTTGAAAAGTCTCTCACTTGCAGCTGCCAGTGTTAAGGCCAACTCATTTATATATTTTTAACATGTCTTACTGTCTGAAAGAATTTTTCCTTAGTCTGATGTTACAAACCATAATGAGTGGCTTCTTGAGCTTCTTCCTTACTCTCCTGATAGGTCCAAAATGTCTAGGTAAGTGTTTCTACTAAAAAAATATATAGATGTTGCTGTAATTGAAATGGTGGGAGTGATTTTTCTTGGTTTTGCTTTTTTGAGTATGTGCAGTATTTTTTGAGTGCAGTGTCCTATTTTACACATGTAGCCTTTCCGATACTTGATTTCCAGCGCAGCATGTATACCTGCAAATAATGTTTTCTAAAACTTAAATTTGGCTTTTAGGAAACATGAGTGGGAAAAACATGGCACTTGTGCAGCCACACTTCAGGTCCTTAATTCTCAGAAGAAATACTTTGGTAAAGCCTTAGAACTCTACCAGCACATTGATCTTAACAGGTACGTAAATGAACTTGGCAGTCTACCTCTTATTTCAAACAGTTTCTAAAAGTTTCAAGTCTAGCCTAACTAAAGTCTAAAAATCTGATGGTAGAGGGGAAATGAATATTAGCATAACTTATTTTTAGCACTAGAGTTCAGAGGAAGTGTTGCCTACTTTGAGAAGCATGTCTCTGGTCACTTCAGAGTCTGGTAGCCAGGAGCATCATTTTAGACAATGTGAGCCAGTAAATTTTGAGAAGCTGTATTGGCTATATGTCACTACCAAAAGCTATGGCACCTGTAAACTTTCTAAACCAAAAAAAAACTCTCAAACTTCTGAATCGTACAGAGGCCCAAACACTTGTTTTTAGAAAAGACAGTACTACTCTGCTCAGAGGAAAGGACAAGCTGCAGGCAAAATCGTGCAGAACACTCTGGGAAAAGGCTGAGAGGTAACAGCAAGAGAGGATGATCTGAGGGATAGTGTTCAGTCGCTGCATGCAGCCCCCTTGCTTCCTTTCAGACAACCCTGATGTGACACACTTCCTTTGTCCTAGAGGCTGGTTCCTCCTATGGTTCCAAAGCACTGGCCATTCCAGATAAAAAATCTTGATGGGAATCTTGTGGCTTGTATAAGCACTGTATGTGCACCTTCTGGCTGCAGGTGAATGCCAAAAGGCCAGAGTCCTTTCTTGGTCAGTGCTTGGTATGGGTGGGAGCGTGTTTGACTCGGATTTGTTGACTGTGAATTGTCTCTCTGTGTAAGAAGACAGTATCTGAGAGAGGAAATAAGTTCTAAAAAAGTCCTGTTCATGTGTCTTGTCCAAGCAATCTCCTAAAAAAGTCTCATTCACTTTGCATAAGCACAAAGGAAATATGTCTTTCTCCCACCACACCTCCTATTTTTGTAGGTGTCTTGTAATACTTAATCAGATTTTGCTAGACACAGTGCTTAAGAGTATGTCATATGTAGTGTTAAAATTAATAAAGTCTGATAAGTCAATCGCCTAAGTAGCTGTGATGGTGTGACTAAAACATTTTACAGATGGCACAGTGACCGATTATGTGACTCTGTCAGCATGTGTAATACCAAAAAAGAATAGAGACTGAAACATGTTGAAATTAATTGCTCAGAGCATATTCTCTACTGTAGAAATGAACATAATTAATTTAATCTTTACTGAAAAGAATAAAGACTGCTAATGTTCACATTGTATTTCATTTATACTTGAATGAGGGAAAAATAGTGTTAGTGATTAAAAGATTGTTTCCAAAAAGGAGATTATTAAAAAGAGGACATCATGCAGGCTCCTGTAGGAATAACAGAACAGTCTATTTTATTGGTTTCCTTACATCTGATGTCAAATGACCATGACAAACAGCTAAACCTTTAGTCAACTGGGTTAAATCTCCCCTCTGCAGAACCTGCCCTTGGAAGAGTTGAGCATTATCAGCACTCATAGATTAAATCCTGCGAGATGCTGAACATTCCCACTCCTTACAGAAGAAACTGGGACTTAGATTCAGCACCTATTGGGTCCTGAGTCTTGTCGTCAACTTGGAAGTGTGGACTTCCCTCAGGACTGAATGTATAGGAAGGGGTATATAGGCTAGAGGTTCTTGCGAGTTACCTTGTTTCTCTTAGGTGAACAACCTTTCCTCTTCAAAAACATACTCACTAGGAAATGTTTCTGCCCTGATGTTGATGTTGAGCCAGATCCACACACCATGCCCCTTTCCTAGTGTGCTGTGTGCCTCCCACCACAGCAAGCCCACCATGTGGGGCATAGAGCTCAGGGGTACGGTTCAAGGCAGGGGAAAGGAGGCAATTAAATAGCATGCCTTACCTGGCACTCAACAGAGCGTAATGAAGGTCCAGCAAAACAACAGTAATATTACCCTTTCCCCTAGCTGTGTCTGAAGACTTGACTCTCCCAGTGCCTCAGATTAAGGTGGGGAAGAGGGTTCTTCCTGACCCTGCTGAGTTGGAAGTTCCCTTTTAGAAAAGGAGAACCTTTCCTAGACCTGGCAGAGGATGGAAGACAAGTTTCCCTTGCTCCCCATCGCTGTAATGCTTGCCAAGTTCTCACTAACATTATACTTTTACCTAATGATTATCAAGTTATGTACAGGAACCATGGAAAAATGTTTAATCTTTGTTTCAGTTGTCTCCTGAAAGCTGGGATAAAGCCAAGCAGTTCATATTACCAGGTAAGAGGCAATCTTTTATAAAACAAAATCATGTGTGTGTACATTTTTCAGCAG